AACCAATCAAAATAAGTCATTCGGAATCAACCAATCAAAATTAATCAAACATAGAAAAATTTCTAATAACGTGCTTTGTGCGAGAAGAAAAATATAAGTTTATTAACAATTATTTATTTATATCAACATGTTAAAAAACAGTTAAGTAATGAAGTTTTACGTTATTCGTTAATAATTGATGAACGAAATGTTGGAAAGAGAGAGACAGAGAGATATGTGAATATTGATGGAAACGAAAAATTTAGTGGACGCGCGTAAGCAGAAGTATCTGTAATAAATATTTATTATTAATTAATACACATATATTAATGAAACAATAGTACATTTAGTATTTCTCTATATAATTAATGCCTCATAAATAAATAATAAAATTCCCTAAAAAAAGTTATGTTAGCTATTCTGATTTCGAGGCAACTTTCACAATGCTAGAGGGAAGAATACGAAGCTGTAATGGTGGAAGTGCAAAGACGTGAATAGTTCAATACGACCGTTAAAATTAAATTTATGCGACAGTTTCTTATTCCCCCTTATATTTGCGTTTCGTTTTATTGAGAATATTTCAAATAAACCATGACGCGAATTAGTGAAAAAAAATGATGATATATTATATATATTTAACGGGTTTCCTTGTGTAAGTAAGAATATTGGAGTAGTAGTATATGTGTGTGTTTCCGCGCTTCGTCGTTACTTTAATGGTTAGGATCTGAAGGCATCCATTATTCTTCTTTGATCTGACATCAAAAAGGCGATCGGTAGTGAATATATTAATTAGTCTAATTTAAAGATTCTCATTTCCTTCAACGAGAACGTTTTAATCGAATTAATATTTGATGTTGATTATTCCTTCATTTGTCCCTTTAATACTTACATGCAATTTTGATAATTGACTGTTGTAAGAGAACATGAAGGTTTTTCATATGTTTTAACAAATTGTACATTATTTGCAGGTATTTATTTGTATTTTGCTGATGCAAAACTATTGTCGAATCTTTTTGTACACATTTATGCCTTTGGTATGACAATTGTAGATTTTTTTTTCTGCATTTTGTCAAAGTTCATCGCATTGTGTACAGTATACTTAATATTTTTATATATATATATATCCTTAATTATATTTAATATTGTGTGTTAATTATTTTGCAGCAAGAGCACTGCCATAATTTAAGTTAAAATACATTATGTCGTATCCTGGACAACCTCCCATGGGGATACCAGGCATGCCTCCTATGCCATATATGGTTGGTGCACCACCACCAATTATTGGTGGAGTAATGCCTATGGCCCATGTAAGTATCAACGTTTCATTTATTTCAATTTATTTTTAATTGTGCATGTTTGTTTTATGTCAGTGTTAGTTAGATATTTCCGTGCCATTTTATCATAATATTTTACTTTTTGATGTGTGTTGTGATTATTAAAACATAATATTTCATAGCTTTCTGTATTATTCTGTTTGACACACTAAACGTCAAGTCTCTCTTGTCAAGCTTTCCGTTCGGATCACAATGATCTTCCATCTGGAAAAGTATGCAAGAATGTCAACAATAGGTGATCAAAGTGGTCTGGATGGATAGCTTAAGGCTAGTCTATAGGAACTGGTGTCGTATTTAATGTGTTAATTATCTTTGATATTGATATTATACTTTTAATAACTAGAAAATATTCATTGCTACAATATTATCGTTTTAATATCATTTCTATACTTCTTTCTAATCAAATTAATGTTATGAGCATAGTGACATTTGCATTCAGTGAGAATAAATAATTAATATTGAGTTTTTCTTACGCGTATGAAAAATGATGCATATTCTGCAGAAAATATATTTATAAATGTGGGTTAGATGCGAATAACAAAAGGTATATTTATTTTAACATGTATATATTTCGATTAGATATTATTTTTACTTTGTCTTCATTAGGTAGAGCTTAGATTGATCTAGAATTACTAATTAATTTGCTTATGAATCTTTTTATATGTTGCAATAATAATATTTCTATCAAATATAAAACTTTTTCAATGAATATATTTCAGTGGGTGATGAGTTAAAAAATATAATCTATTTAAGGATGATGTTTATTAACTGTTTGTTAATCAATTCTCGAAAGGAAAAAAATACAGTTTCGCAAATCTTACACACAGCGTTGCTTCATAGTGTATTTGTTCTGTGGGGAATTCATTATTCGAACATAAAAATCTTTTGCAAAGGTGTTAATTTGTTGCAAGTTTATTCATTGAAAATGTTTTATTTATTTGTAGTCTGAATTATTTATTAACTGAACACCTGCTGCATTGAAAATTGTATATAATAAACAAAAAAAATTGATTATAAAATTGATTATAAAATTGATTATAAAATTGATTATATAAAAATCTACCATTCATATAAAATGTCGTTTAGTGCATGTGAATGTCTCTCCAATTAATTTTCATTTGCACGGGTGAAACAATGTAGGAACAATTTTTAGTACCCGGTGTTGAAGTGTACAGCAAGAGATAGAACGCAAACTAATGCACAATTAATGGGAGGGAACACTATGCAGTGCATGAGTAGAAATGTGCATTATTAAGAAAGCTACCATTTATAAAACATAGATGATTCCAACACCCGTATCTGCGATGCAGACCTCAGCACCAGCCGTACGTTATGCACGCAATCAAAACCGACACGATAACAATCGCCGTCGTGAGAGGGAATCTGGACCACCAGTTACTGTCTTTATTGGGAATATAATGGACAGAGCACCCGATGTTATGATACGACAAATATTGGGCGCATGTGGCCATGTTCTTTCATGGAAAAGGGTACAAGCTTTTGGATTTTGTGAATATGCTGGTCCTGATGCAGGATTAAGAGCAGTAAGATTGTTACATGATATGACAATAGGCACAAAAAAACTTGTCGTTAAAGTGGATGCTAAAGCTAAAGTGGTACTTGATCAATTTAAAGGTATTCATACATATTACATTATTAACGTATCGTATAGGTAATGAACAATGTTTAATGAATATATAACTGGTTAACTTTTACATTATTATTATATGGATTTGTAGCAGAGAGACGGAAGAAACTTAGAGGAGGTCAATCCCCATTACAAGATGAAACACCTACTGAAGGTACAGAGGGAGAGGAAGGCGAGGATTACATGGACGAAGGAATGAGAGTTGTAGATGCTGATGCATTAACACGTATTAATCAAATAATTACGGAGCATGCCACTGATTTAGAAATGGCGCAAGTTGCCCCAGGTATATATATGTACATATACATATATATATATATTTAAAATAATAGAGAATATATCTATTATTAATGTTTGCTTTATCGTTAATAGAGGAGCATCAAACTAAAATGGTCGCCAAGTCCTTAAATTTGGATGATGCCGAGATCGAAGAAAGTAAGAGAGACTTGATAACTCGCGAAATTGGAAAATTCCGGGAAGTTATGAAGGTAATTATTTTTATATATACAATACGACGACATTTTATATCTTGATTTTAATTCCTATTTCTTTGCTCCTGGTTTTGAATATATCAAATATGAAGAGGCGCTATGAAATACGGCATGTTGATTGGGGTACAGAATAACTGAGAGCATTTCAAAGCATACAATTTGTTACTTTTTATGCATAATTCTTATCTGTGAAGCTTTACAAATTTTTTAACATTGCAAAGATTTTTATTTTTTTTTATTTGTTTGTTTATTTCTTTTTTTTTGTCACCGATAAGGATATATCTTTCTGGTATCAAATTGCAACAGTTTTGAATTATTTGGATTGATTTTTTTATAATCATGAAGTTAATGCATTTAAATGAACAACAAGTTTTAACAATATTTTTAAATGCATTTATTTACAATTATATCAAATTTCATCCATTTATTAATGAAAATAATCGGTAAAAATATTGAGAATTCCTTGAATGATTAATAAAGTATCTTGTTTTGAATATTATTTTTTTTATTTTTTTTTTAAAAAAGGATAACTGTATCGGACATCATTTCTTTTCACATATAAAATCTAAACCATATTTTGTTTAAATTAATTTGATATAATATAATTTACTTCATGCTTAGATCAGAGCAATTTACATTCCTATGATTGATTTTGGAGTAATTTAAGTAATTACATTTGATTTTATATATAAAAAAAAAAAAAAAGAGAGAATGCATTTTTAAATATTTCCTTCGTGATAAATTGTAGGAAGTAAAAATTTAAGAAAAACTCTATGTAAAGAGATTCTGTATGCCCGATTACGTTTTATATATTTCATACTAGTTGATGATGAAATTAAGCTCACAGCATATGCATAAAATTTTTATATATACGTACATTAATTTATATATAAAATGATATACGTATATATAAATGCATTTGGATATACAAGACGGACAAATAAGTATTTAGAAATAAATAGTAGTTGTTAAGTATTTTGACGATAAATGAAAAGCAAAAAAAAAAAAGAAAAAAAATTAAATACATGCGCGTGTGTGCTATCTTAGCTCTAAATAATTGGAGCCGTGACTCGTTCGTTATAATTATAATAACAGGCAGCGTGCGTCGCACACAGCAAACGCACACGCCTAGGAATGCTGTGTGTGGGGACGACCCTTTCACTCACTCATTGGCTCTGAAGGGAGTCAATCACAGCACAACCCTCGTATTTTCGCAGGCGGCTGCAGCCTCGTCGGTAAGTCAGAGTATATCCAACCAACAAAAACATGAAAAAATTAAAAAAATAAAAAAAAAGACAAGAAAAATAAGCAAAATAATTCAGGCAGGAGAATCTTAACTCTCTCCTCGACACGCTGACATCACATTATTAACATGCGTCTTATTTCCATCGTGAAATATCATGTCGATTAATCGCAGATAGTTTTATACTATTTTCTAGTTATTACATTTAGAATGTATGAAAAACTGCACTTCTCCTTTGGCTAAAATATCATTCTATCACAATTTTCTCTTTCTTTTTATTTGTATACGTCAAACTGCGATAACTAATAGCATCATTCATACAATACGGGCATGCCTAATAGCTGAATGGATAATATTTTCTTTATTTTATTAAAGGAGTTAAAGAGTTATGTGTTAGAAATTTGGTATTATTACTATAGTAAATTTGTAATTATTTCTTACTCCATAATATATTAATATATTATCATCTTTCTCTATCTATTTGATATACAAACTTAACATACATTCTAGATGATCTGAAAGATTAAGGAATGGAGATGAGATCATTCAAGGAAAACTGATACATGGCAGTAGATCAATATTTTGAGATATTTTCTTCTATTTGAATAAGATCAAGAAATAAAGAAAGAAAGGGGAATTGTTAATATTGGAAATAATCTTATGTGTCTATATTAACATGTAATTCATCCCTTTTCTTTATATACTAGCAGAATATAATACAGGCTATTATATAATATATCGGACAAGTAATAATTACCGTTAATGTGATTTAAGCAACAGTTAGACGCTGACAACTTAATGTCTCTTTAGATAGAACATTAATAGGAGCGAGAGTTTTCGAACGATTTACACAATGAAATGATTTTATCATCACAATGACGACTGTTCAGTTGTTGTCTTTATTTTGTGTAAACAGCTTCTGTCAGCGTCTCGATCAGACATGTACGTAGTACCTAGGTGCGCGCTCCTCCATTCTCCGGTACCACCACACTGACTGACCAAGTCAACTTCACACCGTGAGTAAACTCCACAACCATGAGCAAACACAGCCATTCGGTTCTTGTAGTTTTGCTAGTCAACTGCCCGTCTGAATCCCTTTGGTCATTGATATATTTCGTATTTCAAGAATCTATTTTCTCCTCACATGTGCATCTATTTTTATGCACTCAACTTCCATTATAATTAATAGCTTAAAATTGTAGATTACTGTGTGGAGATTATTATAACAATTTCTAACTCAAATTATTACTTTTAAAAATATTTTTTTTTTTTTTAAATTCACAATTAAAAGTAGATCTATTCAGTCTCTTTATTTTTTTAATTTCAATTTTGATACATAATTTTGTACTATGTTTTTTTTTTGTTTTGTTTGTTTGTTAAGCAATTAGATACTAAATTAAATGGCTTCTATAATTTAATATATACGTATATATAAATATATAATAATTTACTTTTGTATATAACAATAGTAAGTAATATTAATATTAATGATAATGGCTCTCCAAACAGTAATCTATCAGATGTTATTATCAGTACTAGTGTATGAAATAAGGGTGAAGCATACTAATCTATTTCTAAGTCGATTTGTGGGTAACACGGAACGATAAGGGTGAGCAAACTATTGTGCATTTGATATCCAACAGTTTGCTGCATCAGCTGCCGCGTATAACCATAACCAGAGGAAAACAATGTTGACAGATGTGTGACAACATATTTCTTGGCAAATGCAAATGATGTTTTGACGGATACCCTTCTCTCCATGATGACTTCGCTTCTGATTGGTATAATATTTTCTAATAATTATTGAATTTGGACAAGAATTCTTATTATTCACCCCTTTCAACTCTATATTTTATTCCTATAAATATATATATTAGTATTAGAGAATTTGTTTGCAGGCACATTTGCAATGTTGTAAGTACATTGGGTGGCCTAACTACGATGCGTCTGTTAGTTTTTAAGATATCTAGGGTTAAGTAGAATATAAGGACAAAATTATATGCTTGTTCCAAAATTTGTACCTGCACTTAGGTAATTGATATGTAAACGAGATTACGTGTAAGATGCTGCTGAACGAGCATGCTCCAGTGGAGTGAGTATACATCATTGACACGAACAGTTTTATATAAAATAATGTTCAACAATGAATCATTGTCCAACTAGTAATCGTTTGTTATTACCAAAAACAAAAAAAGAATTAAAAAATTACATTTAACATATCTATTTTCTAAATTTTTTAATATCCAAGCAAATGCATATATACATACAATAGCATCGTTCTGCTGGACAGTGAGATAAATACTGATTTAAATATGCTATTTTTCTCAAACGTATATTTTATTATTCATTTTTTATACATTAATATAAACAAAAAGAATTTAATCTTATTAGTTATGAAATAAAAAGCTTCATTTACATGTTATTTACTCTACACCTGATTGCGGCAATAGAACGACTTCATCTACCTACACTTATATACTTTTTTTTTATACATCAAATATACGATTGCTAGTTTTTTTCTTCTTTTTTTCTTTCTTCTTTTTCAATTATCAAATTATTATTAAATTATTATTATATTAATATTACTTTTGTTGTTGTTATATTATTATTATTATTATTATTATCATCATTATAATTATTATTAATAATAATACTACTACTACTACTATTATTATTAATATT